ACACCTAGGCTGCTTCTGGAACCTGGTTTTGTGAATTGCACTGTGATAAACACCCTCCAGCTGTAGCACGCCCTAGGATTTATCCTGAAGAATCAAAGCTGGCCTGCTCTGGGGACACATGGGCAGCGTGCTTTCTGAGTCATGTGGGCGCACGTGGGGCGCCGCCAGAGTCCACCTCCACCGGGACTGTGCGGCAGCATGTCAGAGGAGGCCCCTGCTCTTCCCAGACACAGGCAGGACCAAAGGCCGGGCGCAGATGACTCAGCCTTTGCTTTGTGAGTCTGTTTGCTAAAACAGAAGCAGAGACAATTTCCCAAGCTTTGTCACCGCGTGGAATAGCTCTTGATGCCAGCCCAGCCCTGGTGTGGCGGTTCTCACACCCTGGGCGGCCATTCAGAGCCACCCGCCACTTCTGCTTCTGAATGGACAGGACAAGAGGGTATTCCTCTGCATCATGCTTCCAAAAATAGCCCTTTATTTCTTTCTTCTCCAGTGACAGAAAAGGCTAAGGACAGGCTGAAAACGGTGTGGCAAGAACTGAGCTTTAAAAATAGGGGTTCAGACACAGAGAGGCTTCCTCTCTGCTCACTGCTTCCTCTGTGCAGGTCTCTGTGTGGTTTTTGGCAGGAAGCTCAACCCTTCTGGGATGGCTTGTCTCTTCCCTGGGGCAACCGAGGGCCCTGTGTCTGTGAGCCGTGTTGACAGGCTGTTGGTTTGGGCAGGAAATTCAGGGGCTCATTTTACATAAGTTCCTCCTTTTCTTTCTGGAGAAACTATTGTCACATTCCAGAGAAGAGTTCCACAATGCCTGGAGCATGTCCCTGTCCCCATTGGCAGCTTCTAGGAAGGCCACTTTGCAGGATGTGTCTTCGAGGACGAAGTAGGGGACTGAACTCCAATTCAAGCCAGCGCAGGCCAAAAGGGAAAGCACGGCTCAGGACGTGGGAGGCTCCTGCCATGGGCTCCCAGCAAGACAGGTGCAGGAGGCGGGGCTCAGTAACAGAGCTGGCCCCGCCCCTTCCTGGCTGCCTCTGCACTCTTCCTTCTGAGGGCTGCCACTTCAGAGTGCCTTCTGCGCCCAGGGGTGGGGTGACAGCCCCTGCCCCGCACCCTTTAACTCAGGCATCTGTGTGTTATCTCAGGGAAGGATTCTGATTGGTCCTTCCCAGTGCCCGTCACTGCTCAATGGACCAATAGCCATGGATAGTTCAATAGCAGGCCTGAGTCACTGGGTGCTGGCCTACAGGAGGGGCCTTGCTGGGCAGGACAGGAAGAAGAGGCCTCTGTCCTCACAGTGGCCCAGACTACCCCAGAGAGAAGCAAACCCACCCCCAGGCTCACCAGGAGGGAGTAGGAGGGAGCAGACTATGAGCTGACTCCCGTCTGGCACTCTGGGAAGGTTTCCTGGTAAAGGTGCCCCCTGCATGGCTGCCCCAGAGGGCTTGGCAAGGACAGCCGAGAGGCAGACACTCCTCGAGCCTGGGTGTCCGTTTAATAGGTAAATATGAAAAGAGCCTAAATGCCCAGCAGTGGGGGAACTGTCAAGCGCAGGATAATACATAGTCAAAGTGCCATCACGGCAAGGTTCAAGGGCACAGTAAAGTGGTGGCTTGAAAACACAGGACGTGAGAGGTAGGGCACCAAAATCTGCATGCTCAGGAGGCTCAGCCAGGTGTCCCTTTCCCCCAAAAGACACCGAAAAACATGTCTGTTGAACATGGTTGCCTCCGGGGTGTAGGATTTTGTCCCCTCTACCTTCTTATTTATCTGTGCCTTTTTTACTTGATCTTTTCTACAGTGAACATGTGTCCCCTGTACTTAGACACAAATAATAACTGTAATAACTGCCATCCACAAAGTTGAACTGTAAATATTTAAGAATCTCTATAAGAGATTTAAGACAAAATTCCCCAAATCATAGAAAACCGTGTCAGCTTTCTGTACCATAACAGAGTAACTGAGGCAATCCACACATAAAGAAGAAAGGTTCATTCCGGCTCACTGTTTTAGAGGTTTCAGTTCCTGATGCATTGCCCTCATTGCTTCTGGTGTGAGGCACAAATCATGGCAGCAGCAGGGGTGGAGCAAAGCCACTGGGCTCATGGCCAGAAATGAAGAAAGAGAGGAAGGGACTGGGGTCTCAGGATCCCCTTCAAGGGCACACCCCAATGACCTAAAGCCTCCCCCTAGGCCCCACCTCTTAAGGGCCCTGTCAGTTCCCAGTGGCACCAAGGATGGGGGACCAAGTCTAACACATGGCCTTGGAGGGACATGCTAGGCCCCAACCACAGCAGAGAGCAGCTCCTAAGAGCTGGAAAGGGAAGTGAGGGACAGAGGTGGCAAAGAAAAGCCCGGCCTCAGAAGGCACGTCACTTGTTCTGCAAAGAACGTTCCTGAATAGTGTCTGAAGATCACCTCCCGTGAGTGAGCCGGTCAAACTGCTCATCCCAGCTCCAGATGAGGAAACGGCTTCCGCGAGGTGAACTGGCCCCTAAGACCCAGGCCAGCACCGGGGAGCCAGCACCGGGGAGCCAGCACCGGGGAGGGTTTCCCATCCCGGCCTGCACCTCTGCCACCTCAGGGCTAGCGGCAGATGCTGTCCATCTCCCAGCAGTCCCCTCCCAGGGGGAGAAAGAGCGACACTTCTCTCCAGGGCACATGAAAGGATCTGAGGGACCCTGAATCCCTGGGACTCTGACACAGAGTCCCCAAAGACAAGCCAGACTGCACACCCTACAGGACGGTGTGGAAAAGGCAGAAAACAAAAACACCTATGCAGAATTTGCTTTAGAACAGAGACACTCCTGGAAGCCGCTGCCAGGAAGGCCCAGAGAGGGTAAAAGACACATCTGAGGTCACACAGCAGTAGTGTTGTTTCCAAAGACAGTCCAGGCTGGTGACTGGCAATGCAGAGCTCTTTGGGGCCACCGCGTGGCAGTGTGTCATGTGCTACTAAAAGCAGCAGGTGCCTCAGCTAGAGAGAGCTTTCCTGCCCATCACCTAGAAACATGCATCCCTAAACCATCTGGAGCAGCAAGGGGTTGACCAAGAAGAACTCTGACTCAGGGCTGCAGAATGAGTCAGGTTTCATCACTGTCCAGAAGCCCCGTAGCCTTTAAAGGCGTTGCTAGGAAAAGGTAAGGGGAGCCTCTAATAGTTCTCATACGCATACGTGTTGTTTAAAAGCAGTTCCTTTCTGTCACACGAGGCCCTTGGTTGCCAGGGAGACAGCTGTTGGTGGAACTAAGCAGTTGGTGGGTGATTAACTGTGTCCTCATCGAGGCTGGGCAAGGGGACCTGGGGTGTGCATTCTGAGCTCTGTCAGCACGGCCTCTGCCCAGAGCCAAGAGGTTGAGAGGCCTGACAAGATGGCCCCGTGACAGCTGGGTGTGCAGGACGAACCCCCCAACACCTGACCACTGCAGGGACCCTGCACTGGGCCACCCACGGCCACCATTTGCATCTTCTTGCCTGAGAGTTTTCTCTGGCAGCCAGAGGTCTCCTGTGCCATTTTACACACAAAGTAACCTGCACCCAAGAAGGGACAGAGGTGCCCCTGCACTGGCACCCACAGCCCTTTTTATTTTTTGCAACAGGGGCTCACTAAGGTGCTGAGGCTGGCTTTGAACTTGCAATCCCCCCGCCTCAGCCTCTGGAGTTGTGGGAATACAGGTGTGTGCCACCACACCTGGCATTAGGGAAGCCATTTGAAATGCCAAAATCCTGGGCCACCAGCTGGGGTTGAGAGAATTTGGGGATAAAGCTCAGTTTCCTAAGGCTAGCCTTTCCCTCAACACTGTTCATGAATACGAACTCCTACAAGAAATTCAAAGTTCACCCACCTGAAAATGACCTGTGTAGCTAAAAGTGCTACATGAGAAAACATTGCAGATCATTCTCTCTATAGCAATGCGTAAGGTACATCAATTAAGGCAGAAAACCTGGAGGGGACAGGTGGGAATGGAAGGTCCCCAGAATGGGGACTGGCTGGCATCACTGTAATGTCCTAACTACGCACAATGACTGGCTGCAGCTCTGAGCAAGCTATTTCAAGATGGAGCCACTTCCAGTGCCCTCCACGCTCCCTGGATGAGCCCCTCTCGTCTTCTCCTCCTGAACCTAGAGGGCTTCTCAGACCTGCTGTGCAAACCCAGGTGGAACATATCCTTAACAGGGATAGGCTCCTCTCTCCCTGCTCCTTCTCCACCTAGCTCCCTTCAGACACCCGTGATGAATGGAGGCTAGAGACGGGTGCCGAGGAGGTGGAGATGAGAGTAAGTACCTCCCAAACCCAGGCATCTTTTCTTTCCTCTCTGTTGATACTGAATAGCTTTGGGGGAAATTACCTGTTCTAAGAAAGTTAAGGACCAGTCATGAGGACTTTGATATTCAAACCCAGGGCCCTGTAAGGCGTCAATCAACAGACCACAGGGAAGTCTGGGCTTGTGGGTCTTCTCCTTTGACTACCCAGGGGGTGGGTGAACAGAGAAGCACAAGTCTCCCCAACTTTCTAGCATCTTCTATCTGCCCCTCCCAGTTCAACGTCTTCAGGGTTGAGGAGCTGCAAGTTCCAGCAGAGGCACACACGGCCAGCCAGCTGCTGACACCCTGATAACCCAGCCCTCCATGTTGCCCATGACAGGTGGCTCCCTGCCCTTCCAGTGTGCAAAGGGACCTCAAGGTTCCTGGAGCCTGTGCTGGTGAACAAAGAGAGAACCACCCTCCACACCTCCTTTCCCTAAGCCCTCACTTGATTCCATGTATGAAACAGATGCAGGATTAGAACTTAAACCTTTGTGTTTTGACCATCCGTTTCGGAACCAATAATGAACAGTAGGAAATCTCCATTGTTACATGGAGTCACATTTCATCAGCAGTTGATAACACAGTCATGTTACAAGTGCTCTCAGATGTCAGCAGCTCTCGTGGCCAGACTTTAAAACCTTCCCAACCCCTCCCCACCCCACCAGCGTCCCTGAGTGTGGGCCGTCCTGTCTTACCGGGCGCTGATAGAAGAAGTCCTCTGTGGCTCTCTATGTCTATCAGTGGCAACGGTGCTTACCTGCAGGGAGGGAGGAAGAGACAGTTTTCTCAACTTGTCATTGTGTCCCAAATTACCAAGGTGACGCACAAGCAACAGAGAAGTAATGCATTTCACATTGAACTTGACACAGCTTCTAGATATCTAGGGGAAACTGAGGTAAAAGCTAGGAGTATGGCAAACAGATCTGAGTTCAAATGCTAGCCCCTGGGCTCACTGGCCAAGTCGCTGTAGAGGACCTGGTATACGCTGAAACCGAGTTTCCATTCCCCTGTAGAATTATTGGGGAGACTAAAAGGAGATAAAAAGGCCTCCTGTATTTCTTCTCTCTAGCCAAGGTCGGAATGAAACTCAGACATTAGCGAATCTCATGCCTCTCCTGTGAGTCTTTCCAGGGCCTCTTTTTTGATTGGAGATAGTGTAGAAGATTTATTTATTTATTCTAGTGCTAATCTTATAGGGTGTGAATTTAACGCATATGGCGGTCACTTTTCCTGCTATGTAAATCAGAGCTCACTCAGAAAAGCACATGTACCCAATTGTGGATTTGTTGTAGGAATCTGGCTTTCTGCAACTCTAAGAGCTGGTCTAACAGGCTGAGAGCCAGCTGTTTCCATGCCTTGAACAGGAACCTGAAATCTGGCCAATGAGCAGGAAGACAATGAACCTTGGAGAAGAAAGGATAGATGGAAATTGGAGGGATGGGCTGGAACTCAGACTGGGGTCAACGTCAATCTTGCCCCACCTCCAGGTCACCCACTTGGAGAATGGAAATCAGTTGGAGTAGAAGGTGGCACCCTGTGTCCTGGTCCTGAGCACGCACCTGGCCCAGGAGTCACAGGGGGGAGTAGAGGTTCAGCAGGAGGTGGAGGTGCTAGGAGCCCAGCCTCACTGGTGAGAAACATGAGAGACGATGCCACCAACCACGACAGTCCCTCGTGCCCCACTTAGCTACGAGGCTGCTGCAAACTGGACATCCTTCAAGAGCTGGGGACAGCAAGCGCCCTAAGGCATTGTCTGAACTCCAGATCCTCCCATTCAAGCTGGGACTTTCCCTAGCTCTTTCAGTCAAAGGATTCATTTAGCTTGGGCTGGTTTAAATCAGGCTTCTGACTCTTAAAGTGAAAGTGGCCAGACCGAGGCGCTTGCTCAGCATCCAGCAGTGATTTAGTCCAGCAGTGGAGAGGCAGGTCCAGCAAAGACCCTCACTTTGACTTAATGATGGGAACAAATGGAAAAGCTCTCGACAGTAGGCAGAGGCTAGTTTGAGGCATTTTCAGTTTTGATGGGCAAAGAATTTGCTAAAAATTGATTTTAAAAAAAAGGCTATACAAGTACTACCAACGTTTGCTATCAAATTGTCACAAAGTAGCAGGTACAATCTTTGTAGACTGGATGATACACAGAGGGGTGTGGGAGGGACACATGTGTAGGGTCTCACTCACAAGCTTCACATTTTCATTCCTGCTTCTATAGGTCCGGAGTGAGAATGTGAAGCTGTGTGTACACCTCTGAGCACACAAGTATAGGACACACACAGGTGTGCCACACAGGTCAGCCCTAAGAGGCTGTCACCTCCTCACCTTACCCTCAAGGGACTGATAGATAGACCAATGGAATAGCTGACGAAGCAGAGGGCAGGTGCGTTTCCAGAGACTAGAGCCCTGTGCCCTTCACCTGGACACATCTCCTCCAGGGACAGCTTGGGACAAGAGGATGGGGACTTGTGAGGACTCAGGAAGCTTTTTGAAAGAGCAGAGTGGTATGGGAAGAGCTAACCCAAGCTCTGGGCCAGCCTGGTGGAGGACCCTCCTCATTCCCCATCCAAGTGATCAAAATGATTGTCCTCTAGAATCTGAGTCTTCTTTTCAAGAATACTCTTATTTTTGTGATGAACTCTTGATTATTTCTCAAATTACCAAATTTCCCACTTAGAGATTCCCAACTGAGGTATCACCTACACAGATATTCAACCCCATTATTATAAGACAGAATCGTTCCCTTAAAGAGAACAATTCCTCAAGAATCACCCTCCTCATTCTAGACACTGTTTTTCTGATCACACAACCAAAAATTCCATTTCCATATGGAGCCTACCATCTACCAAAGGCCCTTATTATCTTCTTTCCCTCTTCCACGTATATTAAGCCCTTCACCCTTCTTTCTTTTGTTGAACGGTTTTTTAAAAATAATATTTGCTTGCCTCAATTTCACAAGTAGTAAATATAGCATGCAGAAAATTTAGGATGCTATGCAAAAAAAAATTTTTTTTTAAATTTTCAGATAACAACTTTCTCAAAGCTCAGGGGACCCCTGTCTACCAAATGCAGGAAGAGGGACACGTGGGGAAGGTAGGACACATCATATCTCCAACTACTGCCCTGACACCTCCCCCCAGGTGCCAGCCCCTGGTCTCCATAGGCAGCTGGTGACTGGCCTCCCTGATGCTATTTTTGTGTGTCATCTTTGCAGCAGCCTCAGTGGTCATTTAAAACGTAAATCAGATTGCCCTGTCACGTGGGTGGCCTAAAGTCCTGTCATTCCCCACCACATCCACAAGGGAACCCCAACTCCTCACAGCCTCCCCGGAACTCCTCCTGCTTCTTTCCTCCTGCTCCTTCCTCGGCTCACCGCCTGCAAGCCCTGGGGCTTCCCTCTGACCCCCAGGCTTGCCCTGCTGAGGCCACCACAGATCCTGTGCCTGAGGAATGCTCAGCTGTCCCCTGCGGCGCTCCTCCTCACTCAGGTCCCGGTGCACTGAGCCCAGCTGAGCAGTGCCCCCTCTCTTTTGTTTAGTGTAGGTCTCAGTATCTGAAAGCTTCCCGCTCCCCCCCCCCACTGACCTGTCCCTCTCCTCCCCCAAGAACGTGGACTCCCTAGGGCAGGCTGTTGAGAGCCACACAGAGCGCAGTCCTCTTGTCCCTTGAGGGTCGGCTGGTTTCTTCACCACTGTCCTCTCCTTTGCCCCAGATTGAACTTGCCCCCCCCACCCCCTAGTTTGTAAGTCGCCTTTGGAAATGTCCCTAAATTCGGGTGTTCATGGTCTGGGAGGTGGGCCTTTGGCAAGAATCACCACAGGAGGTCACGGGTGGGGCCCCATGGTGGCTGCTTGCTGCCCTCGTCCAGGTTGTGAGGCAGAAATCCCCACCAGCTGCACGCCCCGCTCCTGGACGCCACCCGCAGGGCCAGCACCCAGAGAACTCGGTAAATGCCCTGTCTCAGGCGCTCCGTTACAGCAGCGGCGAGCTGGCCCAGACGGCCTTAACTGCCCACTGCAGGGTCCTCCTGCCCCCCCAGGTCCAGGCGCCGTGACAGGGCTCCCTGGCGGCCAGGCCACACCGCCCGCCTGCTGGCCCTGCTGGCCCTGCTGGCCTGCTGAGAGAAGCCGTGGGGGCGCCGGCAGAGCGGCAGCTGGGTGGGCTGGGGCCCAGGCAGCAGCCAGAGAACAAACAGAAACCCAAGTAGACAAGGGGCGCTCAGCAGCCAAGGCCACTGACCTGTCCCCGTGGGCGGCCAGGCCCTGTAGGCGCAGAGGTCTGCCGCAGAAAGCCCGCCCCACAGAGCGCCACAAGCGTGAACCTGTGAAGAACTCAACCTTCCGCTGCCTCACCCGCCAAAGAAGAAAAAAAAAAACCGGAAGTGGGCAGAGCCAATGGGATCCGAGACTCGACAGCTGACCAATAGCGTTAGACCGGTTCCAGCTCTAATTAGCATAAGCTTGGACCAATAACATTGGTTCTTTTTTCAAACCCTAATTAGCATAAGTTTGGAGCCATAGCATTGGTTCTTTTTTCAAACCCTAATTAGCATAAGTTTGGAGCCATAGCATTGGTTCTTTTTTCAAACCCTAATTAGCATAAGTTTGGAGCCATATCATTGGTTCTTTTTTCAAACCCTGATTAGCATAAGTGTGGAGCAATAGCATTGGTACATTTTTCAAACCCTAATTAGCATAAGTTTGGACGGATAGCAGTGACTCAAGTGCTATATAAACCTTGAGACTTGGATTTTTCCGTGGGAGAAGATGTGTTTTGGTCTGTGTCTTGCTGTGTACCAGGGTTTTGTTTCTGGTTTTTCTTTTTCAATAATTCTGCTTATTCTGGTCTGTGGATTTTATTTTTTTTAATTTGGTACGAGAACCAATAAAGAAGGAATTAAAGGTGAACCTTGGGGTGCTGCCTAGCCTACGCTTGAGAGGGCCAACACTTCCTGGCTGCCTATGTAGCCCCCATCCACCAGCAGAAGCCGGGAAACTCTGGTCTCACCTGCCAGCAGAAATGGAATCAAGTTTCAGTCAAAACTCTGGTTCCAAACGTAGGCGGTGGCTATATGAAGCCCTGTGCTGAGCCCTGTGAGGCGGGTCCTCACGTGCCTCCGAGTGTCTGGGTCATCACCAGCCCGACTGGCAAAGACCTTTCCATTTCCCTCCAGCGCTGGGCATGTTGCAGGCACAGGCATTATGAGTTAATACATCTCTAAAAATTAAGCACTGAATCGGGCCCTTTATTTATAGCTCATTTTACAAATGTGAATTAAAGTGGCCCAGGCTTATGACACACTCAAATTTATTATCCTCACTTGATGGCTTGGATAGTTAAATACTTCAGTGAATAAACTCAGAATTCATTAAGTCTCATTTTCTCATATTTCACATATTTGCAATCTACTCTCTTTCCTTGGCAGTTTTCAAACAAGAAAATTAAGCCTGGCTCTGAAATTTATGGATGTGTTCTTCTAATACTCCTTTAATTAGAAACTCATATGTGGCTTCCTAAGCAAGCCACCCAGAGAGATAAGTTGTATAATTTGAGCTACCTTATTGTACGGCGGCTTCCTAATGCCATTTTTCTTAAGCTCTTATTAGCTCTGCAACGCCAGGGAGGTAAAGTGGAGAGACAGCTCTGTAGCCAGGAGAGCTAAGTTTCCACCCCTGGGTTGATTTTTTCAGAAGGTTTGGTAATTGTTAATGGCTTGAGTGTGTTTAATGCAAACGGAGATGCAGAGCTCCCGAGCTCCCAGCCAA